TTGTGAGATTGAATCCTGTAGCAGGCTGAGCACGGAGCATGGACTGCTTGGAACTCTCAATCTCTCTCTCTCTCTCTCTCCCCCCTCATTCTCTCTCTATCAATAAATTTAAAAACTTCATAAAAATTGCTACTGCCTAAATTAGGAAGGGAGCACTAGCTCTCTCATAAATATCAAGGCTGCTGACACCTTTAGAGTGGGGACAGACACCAGAAGCTGGGTAGGGACTGGCAGAGCTCCTGGATGTTGGACTGGGAAGCTCAGACAGTCTTTTGCCAGCAGAGGGCTGTGTTCCTGCAGAGGGGACCCCCTCCAGCAGGCAGCCTGGTCACTGAACCATCCTCTTCCAGGTCCGGGGGCCTGGGTACGCTCACGGGGGGACTTCTGACCACCTGGTGTTCATTTTTGGTATTCTCCATGCCTATGGTTGCCAAATAAAGCACAGGATTCCCAGTGAAATTTGAATTTCAGATGAACGTATACTTTTTTAGTGTAAATGCACTCCAAGCATTACTAAAAGTTTTTTGTTGTTCTTTTGCGATATGAACTTAACTGGGTGTCTTGTATTTTTACTTGTTAAATCCAGCAAACTTAGCCATGTCAGTAGTGAGTTTTTGAGTGAAAAAAGCTGCACTCCTTTATTCCACAACTACTTACTGACTGTCGATTATGTGGCAGACACGACCCTGGGCGCTGGGGGTATATCCGTGAGCAGATAAGCAAGGTCTTTGCCCTCATGGAACCGGCATTCCCGGGTGTGTGTGTGTGTCGGGGGTGGGGGGCTGAGGTGGGGCAGGAGGCAGCGGCCGGACCATTTGCATGGTGTTACAGGCCCAGGAAAGGAGGTCCAGCTGCCATCATATAATTTACATTCCACAAAGACCTGGAGAAGGGATTGTCCAGGAACAAGAGCGGAAGCAACAGGACCAGTTAGGGGGTCCCCGCAGCAGTGCTGACAAGAGCCAGTGGTGTTTGCAGGGGATGGACAGGCTGCACATTTATTTCATGGCAGAACCGACAGGACTCACTGATGAGTTAGACACGGGGAAGGGGAAAAAGGAACTCCTACAAACACTCCCAGGTTTAGGGGAGTGAGGTACTCAGTCTCGTTTTTCTCAGGGCACTACACCCTGCTGTTGTCATGTTCCCAGCTTACACGCAAAACAGTATTTATCTGGCATGTGGCCGGGAGGGCCGGTCCCAGGGTTTCCAGGCACCGTGGCTCCGGTGGCCACACGGAGCACTAGCCTAGCAAGCTTGTAACCCACCCACAGTGGTAGCCCCCATGGGAAGCTCTGCTCTGGGGGAGAATTCTCCAGGCAGGGCCAAGCGTGTGCTGCCAAGGGCCTGCTGAGAGATGGAGAGTTATGCTATGTGATAGGCACCAAGCACTCTCAAGGGCAAGGTATGCCCCTGAGCATCAGAAGTAGAAGATTTCTAGAATTCAGGGCTAGGAGAGATTTTAGAATCCATCTTGTTCAACCCTCTTCCCTCTGTCTTTATACGGAGGAATAAGAGACGAGTGGAAGGTACTCATTCCTTTATGCCATTTATTGAGTTCAAGTGCAGCTGACCATGGACTGGCCATGGTCTGTGTGTGGCCCGAGGATTCAGGGAATGGAGGATAAGCCTCTTGTACAGCAATTGGGTCATTGGGCTCACAGTTTCTATTTCTCTCTCTCTTTATTTATTTTTTAAGTAATTCATTTTCATTGTGTTTTGCAAAAGGATTAGTTCAAGATGGTTTGAGGACCAAAATAACAATAACAATAACAACAGTTTCTTGGCTGGAAGCATTTGCCTAGGAGAGTGACAGCTCATTCAGTCACATGATCATCAGGGCTGCCTGCCTGCTCCAATCCCCTCCCACTTCCTCCTGTCAGAGACCCTGAGATGGTCTCAGAGACCTCAGGAACCCCATTTTATTCTCCGGCCTCTGCCCTGATAGGAAGAGAAGATGACTCTCCTTCTGGGCGTTAGCCTTTTGCTTTTCTGTGAGTACACTCCTCTGTGTACACGCCCCTTGTCCTACCACCCCGTTTCCCTTTCTCTGACTTTAAACACTTGACCTTTTTCTCTCTGCACCTGATTTTCCAGTCATTCTGCACCTTTGACTTTCATCTCTGTGTCCTTTTCCTACCTCTGCCAATTGAGTTCCCTCTGGGTGGGTCTGTGTGCGACCCGGTGCCTACGGAGTATGGGATTTGACTGTTTTCTATTTTTTCTCTCACAGACCAAGGCGTGCTATGTGACCAAGTGACCCAGAGCGCCCCACACCAGACAGCGACTAGTGGTAGTAAAGTGACACTGTTGTGCACTTATGACAACACATACTCAAACCCGGATTTATACTGGTACCGAATAAGGCCAGATCGTTCCTTTCAGTTTATCCTCTACAGGGATAACACTCAATCCAAAGATGCAGATTTTACTCGGGGTCGGTTTACTGTGCAGCACAGTCAGCAGCAGAAAACCTTCCACTTGGTGATCTCCTCAGTGGAGCCTGAAGACAGTGCCACTTACTACTGTGCCATCAGTCCCCACAGTGTCGCAGGTGCCCAGGAGGTCTGAACATAAACCCCCAGCACAGCCTAGTATAGCCCCTTCTTAGGGAAGCTCATGTCCTCAGACATGGGATCCTTCTTCCCAGTTATTCTGTGTTCCATCGTGGCCTTTGGAGGTGCCTGGATGTATCTGCTGAATGATATAAGGCCAGCTCACATCCAGGGAAACGCCCTGGCTTCCGCTGGAGCTGAGCACCTCCCCACCTTCTGACTCAGTGGGCCCTTGTGGTGATAGACTGGGAGAGGTATATCTGGGGAATTCTCATCTTTGTGCGCCAGTGCCCAGGTCACTCACACCTGATACAGAGTCCTGTCACGTATGTGCTGTGAGTACTGGGAAGATATCAGAATGGCCAAGGTACCACTCAGAAGGGTCCTCATCTTAGTCTCCATCATTTACCCATTATTATGAATTGGTCTGTTTTCCTTTTAAGATTCAAATTAGATGCAAAGTTACTTACCAACATTTTTTCCTCCCAATTCACCTTTTTCCTGCTTCTTGTACAGCCACCTTATCTTTCTTGAATGCTCTTTGACACTGCCATTTTACTTACTTTATTTAGAGAACTCAGTGCTCCTCAGTGAAAATGAATCAAGTATATGATTCAGTATTATCAACGATAATCACCATGCTGAACATTAGATTCCCAGAACTCATCCATCTTCTAACTGGCTGTTTGTACCCTTTGGCCAACATCTTTCCATTTCTGGAGCACTGAGATACTCCCAAAAAGTTGTTTGTGATTGCTAGGACCCCAGCTTCCACGTCCCTGAGTTTGGGGCTCATTGATGTCTCCAGGGAAGATAATCATCTCTAGGGTAAACCAACCATGTGATGTCAAAATAGATACACCCTATGCCCTGGGAACTGGTCCCTCTTCCCTTTATTTCCATTGAATTCCTTGCCTTAAAACAACTATTAGTTATGAGATGTGACCTTAAAGAGAGTAGAAGCCTAGGCTATGATTTTATAGGAAAAACACTGGAGCCAAGAGACATGAGGGACCTTCATACCCAAGGTCAGAGAGAGCTGGTTAATAACAGAGCTCACATGGGCACCTAGCAGGCTTTATCAGTAGGTGCTCTGGTGGCAGTGTATCTGGGCTTCAAAACGAGTGGGTGAAGAGCAGTCACTGAAGAGAGGAATGTAAAGAACATGGGTGAAGGAGCCAAAGGCTTGGGGCAAATGTCTCAGCCTCCTGGGTCTCTGTTCTGCCCAAGACTCTGTGTGTGTGTGTGTGTGTGTGTGTGTGTGTGTGTGTGTGTTTTTGTGTGTGTGGCAGTCTTCTGGAGGACTACCTTGGAGCTGTTTTGGACTTCAATGAAATGTTGTATGCAAAAGCTCTGGAAAACTATAATCCACAGTATGATACCAGCCCCCGACCCCCACACCAGACTTGAAGACAGCTACAATCCCCACCTGGCTCCTGCCATTAATTTTTTTTTGGAGGATCCTTTTGGTAGAAGAAATTCAAGATCCTGTGATAAGCTAGGACTTTTTTTTTTTGACCACCAAAGTAGATCAGAGGGTGGCTCATTTACATGCTAAATAGTGGACAGTCCTGAAGTCCAGTCTAGTTAAAATTGAAGCAACACCTTGTCCTTGTTTGGAGATGTTGTATGCTCTAGAAGGAACTTTGGGCTGGCGCTGTTGGTAAAGTAGTCTGCTCACAGCCATGTCCCTGCCTCACTGAATGGCTTCGGAGAAGAAACATTACCTTTTTGGAGGGGTGTTTTCTCCATCTGAAAAATGAGGATGTGATCTTTTTGTTCTTTGCCACTTAGAGAAACATGCTAATGTTACCCAAGGTAACAGATGCGAATGTTTTGGAAATTGGCATTCTTTACACATACAAGGTGCTATTGGGTGGAATCTTTTAATGGTTCTTCCCTGGATGGACCTCCTTATCCATCTAGATTGTCCTAAACCCATTGACTCAGAGTGCCACTGCCTCCTTTCTTTGCTTTGGGCTGTGAAGACAACAGGGGAGTCTGCAGATGGCAATAGCAGGGGGAGTTGGTGAGGGTTGCTCTTTCACTTGTGACCCCATAAGCCCCTGCTTGACACCCTAGATAGCACCCTAGGTGCTCAGGAAACCACAATAGTGGGTTGCAAGGGCTCTGCTACCTGAGTGGGTGCACCTGGGAAAATGCTGTGGCCTTGCTGACGTGGGGGTAGCAGAGCTGATCGGCCACAGAGGGGTCATTGCTGCTGTTTTGCTGTAGCAGCAGCAGCAACAGCCGGAAACCCAGGGCAGGGTCCCCAACGCAGGAGCCTGCAGGCTTGGGGCTCAGGAAGCTGTGTGTGTGTGTGTGTGTATAGGTGTGACCTATAAGTTCAGTTTGGCTTTTGTCTGCCTAACAGTGAGTTCACAGCACCCCCTCCCCCCAGCCCCCACTTGTGGTGATCTGTTATGAGTAAAGCCGGAGGCAAGGCACACTCAATGCACTTTAATAAATGCAACAGAGACAGCACTGGGAATGGCAGAAAACCGTCAACAATGAGGGGCAGGCAAGATTCAGCATCCACTGACCTCAAATTCCCTGTGTATAGATTGGCAGGCAAAACCCAGTAAAGATACTCTTTTTATAGCCCAAATCTAAGAGTCATTCCTATCCCTCCCTGCAAAAACACTTGGCCCAGTGAGTTGCTTGAAAGCAGGCCCACCTCTCATTCATCTTTACACCCTCAGCTCAGTGCCTAGAACTTAGAAGGAGTCAATTCATGTTTGTTAAGTCAGTTAATAAAAGCAGTTTTCTCTGCATTTTACCCTGATCTTTGCTAAGAGCTTGGAGAGTATTTAGATGAGGCTTTAGAAACCCCATTGGTTGCATGAAAAGTCAAATGTAATTTTGTTTGTAAAGTACTAAGAAAAGCAGAAAGTGCTTTTTTGGATGAGAGTGCCAGCTTAAGGCAAACCTAGTGCTGGGCTGAATGAAGCCATTCCTGTTAGGTGAAGGGCATCTGCTCTCCGTCCCCCAGGGTCTATTTTCATCTGGGAGTATGCAGCTGGGAATCTGTTGGCTCCCACTTTCTACTTCTGAAGGCAAAGAAAGTCAAAACAAAACACTATTTTCAAAGTGTATCTGTTGTAGAAATTAAAAAAAAATGAGTCCTAAATCCCTTTATAAAGCAGCAGATAGAGCAGTTAGGACCATATGCCTTACTCCCTAGGACTTTGTCTTTCCACCAGGCCAGAAAACGAGCTGTTTGTTGCCTTCGATGGCTTGCGTAGCAGCCATTTAAGCAAGGCTGGGATCAGTCACCTTGAATCACCAAGAAGCCAGAAGTCTAGGAGACAGGTCCTCTGTAGGTTTTTGTGGAGACATAATGTGGGAGTCTCATAAGGCAGCCTTCTCATGCCAGTCAGTCTGCAAGTGAAAGACAAGGATCAGAGTGTCAGATCACAGACCATCAGTACTGGGTGGAATCGTAGTACTCACGTAGTGCGGCCAGTACTTGCTGTGGCTGCATCATTGCAGACATCACTAATCTATTGTGGCATGGTTCCTTCTGCACATGGCCATAATTCAGATAGTCACTATTAGCTTATCAATATTGGCATAAGCCATGCAACTCATTTGCTCTGCTTAGTGATTCTTAACCCCTTTGTTTAATGGATGCAAAACCTCAAGCCCTAAGAAGTGGACAATTAGGCTAGGGTAGCAGAGTGTTAGTGACAAGGACAGAGTGAAAACCCACATCTTCTGACTCCTAGTGTAGTGCTCTTTTTATATAGCCACACTGCCCATATCCTTGGGACTCTTGGAAACCAGTCACCCATTTGGAAATGATTGAACATGTCCTCAGGCTGGGTTGGATCAGTCCCACACTCAAAATCTTAAGTTGTCCCTAGATTAGGAGTTGGGACTGAGGAGCATTTGGGGGTACTGGAGAAATGGATTTGTAGGCAAACCCAGCCCCTGGTTTAAACTTCATGTCTGAGATTCCATGAAGAAGGAATGTAAGTAGCAGGCAGATAATGTCTCAGCTGTGACTTTGTATGCATCTTGAATAGCTAGCAGTGCGTTTACTACTAATGAGCATGCAGATTCATCGCAAAGATGGGCTGGTCTATATGTTGGAGTTCTGTGATAAAGGGATGGGAACTGGCATCTTCTTTGTCTAGGCAAAGGCAGATTCTGGAAATTCTTTGGGGGAAGCTTTACTTATGGCCTTGCAAATAACCCATGACCCCTTGGCCAGATAAACAAAACAGCAAATAAAACTATTTCTCATTGCATAGCTCCAAGGTTTTAGCTTCTGGCTTGGAGGTGGGGATTATCGGCCAGTATTACATTATACTACACAACACATTTTGAGTCTGGCTTGAAATAGGAGGATAACAGGAGATGGGGTGTTATGCAGAGTTGCTGAGGTGACCCACCTTCTTAAATCATACTATGTTTCAGGGCGCCTGGGTGGCTCAGTCGGTTAAGTGTCTGACTCTTGATCTCGGCTCAGGCCACAATCTCATGGTTTATGGGTTGGAGCCCTGCATCAGGCTCTGTGCTGATGTCTCAGAGCCTGCGTGGGATTCTGTCTCCCCTTCTCCCTGCCCCTCCCCGACCTGTACACGTGTTCAAAATAAATAAACTTAAAAAAAATCATACTATGTCTCTGTGTTCTTCCCTTTCCAAGCCTTCTTGGCCCCTTACATTCCTAAACTCCTTTTCTCCATGTGCAGCATAGTTTGAGTGGATGTAGGCATAAGAAGCAGATAATTCTTACCTTAAAAGAAAAATAACTTGGCAGTCAAGAGAAAATTGATGGCAAGACTCTTGGCAAACACCATCCGGAGCCCCAGCACTGTGAGGGACAGCATGTTCACATTCCTGGCTGTGAACTGTGAACTGTGATGAACTGTGGCAAAGAAGAGTAAAGATGGCGACTTTAGCATGAAACTAAATTCCTTCGAGAAATTAGGCCCACAACACACTTGACACCAGCCTGCACAGAATCACCATCATTCTGCCTGGTCTGCAAGCCCAGCCTGGTGGCAGATGGCCCTAAGAAACCCCAAGACTGTGGCTCACTCCCAGCCAGGCAAGCTTTGGAAGCCCATACTTGTAGCCAGGCAAGCTTTGCTGTGAGACTCAGAGGGAACCAGCTGGGCTCAGGTAGGATTTTTGTTTTCTTTTGAAGTCTGGTGACTTTTGGCCCTGTTTGACAATTACAGAGCTTGCTTTAACCCTCAGTTCTGAAGTTGACCCTTGATTTCAACTAACCTTTAGGCTTAATGATCTTCTGTGGAGTTAGCTTTATGTTTTCAGTTTCCGTTGGTTTTGGTTTTATAGTACCTAGAACAAACAGCAGTGGTCAGGGATTCACTGGCAACCAAGAGGCTCAAAGGGTTTGAGGTTTTAAAATTGGAGGAGACTTTAAGTAAGTAAACCAAGGATCAGTGCTATGAGTTGGTTAAGGTCAGACAGCTACTTGCACAGCCAACATTCTTCCCATTCTGGGCTTTTTTTCATTATGTTATGAGGCCCACACTCAAGTATGTTCCTAATTTGTAGGATGAACTAGGGTTCTCAACCTGTGATAGGCTGGGCTGCCCTTTGTTTTGGCATTCACACTGGATTAGATTGCACAAATTTTTTAAAAAGATTTTTTTTTAAGTTTTAAAATTTATTTATTTAGAGAGAGTGCATGTGAGCAGGGGAGGGGCAAAGAGAAAGGAGAGAGCGAATTCCAAGCAGGCTTAGCCCTGTTAAGGCAGATCCCCACATGGGGCTTGATCCCATGAAATGTGAAGTCATGACCTTAGCCAAAGTCAAGAGTCAGACGCTTAACCCACTGACCCACCGAGGTGCCCCATAGTCTGTGCATGAATTTTTAACCCAGAGTCTAGTAGTAGGACAGTCATTAATATGAAGGAGACAGTGGCTGATGAAGAGGAGATAGGGGATGAAATAAGATGGACTTTATCTTAGATTTTGGCTCAGGGATGCAGAGTTAAGTTCTAAGTCAATGATGGGCCATAGTTGGGCTCCATCTTGTTTCCAGCATGATGCCATATTGAGAATGATCTGTCAAGAATTACATCTCTAGCTTCCCTTTCTCTCAACTTTTCTTCCCTACAATTCCAGCCCCTTGAAACTAGATGTGACTTACTTGAAGTTTTTGTCTTTGGTTCAAAGTTAGTGGAGCTCACGACTTCACTGTTGTGTTGAACAGAACAGGTCACTGTAGTTGGATCTTCATACCGACCAAGCTTGACAGCACTGTACTTCCCACTGGGAGTGACGACAATAGCAGGGTCAAATTCTTCTAGTTTCTTGGTTGATTCGAGTTTTATGTCTATATCCTTAGGGTAGAAATCCTTCACCAGACAAGCAACCGTCGTCCCATTTCGCATGATGAAAACGGATGGTTTGACAGGAGGCTGGCTTTCTGCAAATATAATCAATTTATTTTGAAAGATGATTATCCACAAGTGTGGGAGTCAAACAGTGGTGTTTACTTCAATTCCCTTGGGGCCAAACACTGCAGTCCAGACTTCCCTGCATCTTTTAGTGACCTGGGCCTGTTAGCATCCCATGAAAGAAGTGACTAAGGGAAGCAGAAATGAAAGGCAGTCAGTTTGACTTCTAGTTAGGAGCTGCTAAGAGACATGGCTGGAAGTGGAGATAGAAAATAACAACTGCAAAGAAGTTTCTGGATCATGTGAGTTTCAATTATCTATATTTTATTAATCAATCTTCTGGTTGATCACAGTCAGGTTGAATTTCTGTCTGCATCAGTTGGTTTATTTAAATGCATAAGCCCTTAGAATGAGAGCAGGGTTGGTGCTCAGTTAAAGAATCAGGGTCTGAGAAGGACTACATGACTGGGTCAAATACTCTGAGGATGGCAGTGTTGGGGTCACTCTATGGTGTCATTCCCATTTTTCAGACTGGAAGGGATAACCGCTGAAGTTAAGTGGTACATCTCTCTGCCTTTAGGTAAACACTTATTTTTTTTGTAAGGGATTATCCTGCAGTTTCTTTTGAGTCTTTAATCAGAGATAACAACTATCATACCCAGAAAGTCCTTATAGATATAAAACCAGTTTAAACCCAGTTCTTATTTTATTCTAAGTGAGGCTGTGTCTTGTTGGTCCTAATCAGTGGGTCTCCTTCTGGCCTTTGCATTCATGCCTCACCTTGACCTACCGTCTATCTGCTACTCTGTATATACATCTTTTTCTTTCCTTGAAACTGAAAGTTTTAAAGCTTTGAGGGAGGCAGTATTGATTCTTTCCCATCATGCCCTATTAAAATTTGTGAATTATGCTAACTTTTGTCCTTGAAGACTTGGATTCTTAGGCTATCTTCAAATAACTGTTTAAAAAAAAAGGGGGGGGGTGCTGTGAAGATCCCTGAAATCAGGAGAGACAACCAACCTGTGAATGGTGACCTGGATATATTTCCAAACAGAAGCTTAACTGCCAATTTTCAGTAGTAATTGCTTGTGTGAATATAGCTCTTATATTTAAAACATAGGTGAATTTTAAAACTTAGGTGATATCAAATTAAAAATGTTAAATTCCAGTGTATTTTTATTTACTATGATCTATAATCAAGATATAAGATAATGCTAAATGAAAAGTCTTGGTAATGAGTGAATAAATGCAATGAGTTTTCTAATACTCTGTCCTAATTTGGATTTGGGCTTTAGCTGTTGAAGTTCATGGTAGTGGAGCTATAAACAAATTATTTGGTTATATCTGGTTGAGAGGGTGTGTTTGCTAGTCTGGAAGTTCTTGGTGATCACCATTTTGTAAATGGACCATGGGCAATCAGGACTTTCCCTGGGAATCAGCTGTTCAGAGACTCCCCCACGCCCATCACTACCCTCAAAGGAGTTTTTGAAAAAATTTGTTACCACTCTTTTCTCTGCCTGAAAGCTCAGCTGGAAGACTGGATTCTGTTTCAGTCACTAAGGATAGGAAACACATTCCTGAGAATCTGGTTCCTTAAACTTTTGGCTTCAGTTCTAGACAAGACAGAGGATTGGGAGTTTTTTCAAGGGGCTCTCCTGGAACCTAATTCAACCCATGTGAGGAAACCTTCATTGTTTTGCTTTCCGGCATAGCTGAAGCCACTGATAACAGACACTGATAACTCTAGCAGCAACGGCTTGAAAAACCACATGTTCTGCTAATTCACCTGCCTTCAGAATCACAATATTTCTTGTTCACTATACTGACTTTGGTGACATGTACTCTGGTTGATTTTCAAGGGAGTTATGAGGTACAGAGAAAGGAAACTACTCAATTAATAAGACAAAACAAAACAATCCTATTTCCTTGGTTACTTAAGAGTATGACCCAATCCTAGCCTGATCTACTTGGATAATTAAGACTTGCTTGGGATTTTAAAATCTAAATTCAAAGGCAATTGTCAATGATCACTTGGGGCTAGAGAGACCTGGTTTGAGTAATTTGAATAGTGTAACACAGCTGACAAGACAAATGTCTGAAGAAGGTCGTACACTTATGATATTGAGCTCTTAATCTGTTACTATTTCAGATAAAGTATAATGCATTGATTTGGTAAAAGAGTCTTCTCAGACCCTCTTCTCAATGAATACCTATCCTATCTACTGAAAACAATTGTTTGAAAGTAAAGTGTTTTATCTAATCCATTCTTTGGTATCATGGTAACCAAAGAAAAGGTTAATCTGGCTGAACTGAACCTTTAAAAAAAAAAACAACAAAATGCATTTTATATGATTGCCATAGGTAAACTAGTCTATTTTGTTTTTAGCTTAAACCAAAATCTGAAGTTGGATAAAATTTGCACTGCTATAGTCCAAAATTTAAAGATTTAATTGTTCATTTTTTGAGAATTTCTTATCTTTCTTCTTGGCCCACAAATTACATTTGGCCCATAATTACATTTCACTTTGGGTTTCAAAGTGCTACTTGCTTGGACAATTGTTATTTTATTTCAGACTTTCTCTTTCTATGAGTAACAATCCAATGCTAAGGTTGTGTGCTGGTAAACAATACCAGAAGAAGTATATACCTTTCCTGAACAGTCTTTCTTAACTTGTATACATGGAAATCATCTGTTTTAGATTCCCCCTGAGTCCTACCAGTCCCCTAAGGATTGTACCATCTGTGACAAATGTCACTCACAATTTCAAGCCTCTCTGACATTATGGGATTTAACTTGAACATTGAAATACAAATTTGCTCTACCTGATCACTCTGGCCTGGTTAACCATCTTTCTCTTAAATCTTCCAAGCTATGGGCCATTTGTTTACAGTTGCGGTGAAGCATGTACGCTAGTCAGCTTAGCCAAACAGATGTGTAAGAATGGAAACTACCTTCCGGAGATTTGGGAAAGTGTCCCTGCACATCCCCTCACACCCCCGCCATATGCCCCAACAGTTAGTATGATTTTTCTAGTTTTCTTTGCGTTTTCTGGGCTGCTCTGAAGATTTCAGAAATTGGTGGAGGATGTGGTGTTAATGTATGCTTTTTAAAAAAGAAAACTAGTTACAGAGCTGCTTCAGGGACTCAGCCCAGTGTCTTTACTCTGGCCAACCCCCCCTCCATCTCCTAGTTATACTTTTCCAAGTAATGCAAACTGGATGGCAGCCCCAGTGCTGGGACTCGATTTATCCCTAGAAATATAGTGGAAAAAATCAACTCACGTGGTTCCACGACGAGTTTGGTGCCGGCTCCAAAAAATATCTGTCGGGTATCCCAGGAGCACATTGCAGCACTGCCTCACAAGTAACTAGCCTGGGGCTGGCCCTGGGGCCTGGGCTAGAACATCTGTGCCCTGCCTCCCCAGCCTGGGTCCCAGCCTAGAGACCCCACAACTCAGAGAACTACAAAGCTGCCCTTGATGAGATCAAGGGGCTGAGTGCACAGAGGCTCAGTTCCCTTTGAAGCTAATAATAGTTTATCTGCTGGATAAGGATGTGCGCATGCAATCCCAGCCAGGAAGCACCAAGACAGGGGACAGAGCTGACATGGAGAGAAGAAGGTGACAGGTGACTAATGGCTGCCTTCAAGATGGAATATTTAACTCCCAGTTTATTGGGAAGCCTCTCCAAGAAGAACATGATAGCTTGGGAATAGGGATGGGGCACTGAATAGTGACATTTCTTATAATGAATGTTAGACTGAGGAGGGTTTAGACCCAGGTCTCATGTTCTGGTTCCCTTCTCTTGGGTCACAAACACTGCTTTTTGATTAGAAAACTAATTTCTTCCCCATCACTCAGACTGAGTCTCACAATAATAAGGAATCTCCCTCCTAATTCCCCGAGCCCAAGGAAAGGCTTTCTAAGGCTCTGAGGCTTGAACAAGATGTTGGTGGTGGGTGGGGAGCCCAGTGGTGCTGTGTGTCATAGATATGGGTCAGAGAATCCACTGCTTGTTTTGGACTGCTTATTTTTGGACTCTCTGGATCCAGATACAGCTTCAGGAGGATATAGTAATCATGTAAAATAGAATTTGAAGGCCTTATGGATTACTCTATCTCATCACCAGAAATCAAGAGTCTAGGGCTAGAGCCAAAGGGAATGACGGTTATATAGGGCCATTATTTGCTGTCAAAACTTTAAGGATTGAGGGCTTGACTTGAAATTCTCACTTTCCCTACCTGAGCTTCACATAATCATATTACACTCCATCACTGCAGGAAGAGGAAACTGGAGAAGTAAATGGAGTATCATTGGAGAGCACAGGTCAGAGTCCCAGTAGAGGAGCTAAGCATCAGTTTCATCTCTTTCCTTCTTCCCTAAGATTCCCAAAGGCATAGCCTCAGAGATTTGATTCTAACAACTGCAGATAATTCCGAATTTCAAGTGGAAATGATTTAAAGGGAAAATGAAATACAATACTTTTTGCTCAGATGCAATTTGCCCAACATCGATCTGACTGCAATCAGCTACAACATGATTGTTTCCCTCCTTCTTTCTAGTCTCTCTCCTCTCAAAGATAAGACAACTCGCCAAATTCCACTATAGGCTTGGAAGCAACAGGCAATCAAGAACCCCCATAAGTTTACGTTTCCTTCTGAGAGGCAGACACCATGTTGACACTATCAGCTGCTTTCAGAATGTCAACCTCGCCACATTCATGTACATTTCCCCACTTATTTATTTCCTCTGAAACAAAATTTACTCATGTAAGGGGCAATGCCTGCCCCATTGGACTTGGTATTTCTGAAAGACTACTGTTCTCTGGACCGGACCCAGTGGCTGACTGTTGGCAGCTATCTAAACTATCTGAATGTTACCCCTGGATTTCCGAACGCTAAAATGCCTTACCAGTGGACAGTATCTCTAGGAGAGCACCATTACTTGTCTGTTGTCCTGAAGTTGGTTGTGGTGATTCTACATTGGATGTAGGCTCCTGAACCCTGTGCGGAGTCTTCAGATCTAGGGCTAACCAAAGAGATGCATTTGCTGCTCTTGGAAGACCCAGACTAGGATGTGGCCTTGGGAATCATTTAGTCTGAGCCAGGCATACTGATTTAATTCAAGTTCTCAGCAAAAAGACACCAAGGCAAGATTGGCTTTTGTCATCTCAGGGAGAGAAGACTGTCTTGATCTAACTCCTTCTGCAATATTTTTCTTCTTTTTAACCCTCCCTCTTCCTACACTTTGGCTATGAGTCTTTCTCCTCATAAACAGTGGAGTGACTCTCACCTATAGCTTGCCTTTTCTCTTACTCATGAGGGGACCAAAAGCCTGGCTCAGGGCTTTCTTCAGGCCATTGTAGAAGGCTTATTGCTACAGATCTTTAGAACAGAGTTTCCAGGCATACATAGACTATTTTCTTAAGAGAAACCTAACGAATTCATCCTCAAATTTTACCTTGACTCTTTGCAACAACAAAACAATAGCTTTCCAATTTAGAATCTCCTGACCTCCCCCAAAGCCCCAATTTACTCAGGACTCTGCTACAACAAGTCCAAGGGACTATATGCACTGAAGTAAATTAAAATGCACGACTTACTTGGTTCCACGATGAGTCGAGTCCCTGCTCCGAAGATAACTGGTGCATTATGACACCACCTCAGGCATCATTACAAAAAACCCCACTACCCATTTGCCCTCTGTTTAGTCCATCTGTTTGGAAGGGGGTGGGTGGAGCAGAACAAGGTGAGCTGGAGACATAAAACTCTGCAACGGTTTCTGAGATCTAAGTGCTATATTTTGGCAGCCCTTTTTTTATGTGTTATCTTCTGAGTGTTGGCATTTAGGGAAGTCCCTAGGTTTTCTACTATTGTTTCCTCAACCTGCCATCACTTACCCCCCAATCTTGCTTCAGGATCATATTTTCACAGGGAGAAAGGAATCATTTTGGCTTTGCTGAGAATTGAGAAATGGCTATTGTTAGCAGAAACATAGCTATAAGGCTCTAGTAAATCAAAGGACTATGAGTCAGTTAGAGGTGGAAGAACATGACGGTTGGAGCAAGAGCCATTGATGCAAAAGAATTGGAGCCTACCCAGAGGGTCATAAGACTCATACATGACTGCCATTTATATAAGGACTTTGCTATTTACAAATGTTTTGTGTTTATACTACCTCAGCAAGCATTATTGTAACAAACTCCAAGAGGTGATATTATTAGATCCTTCTTATAGATGAAGTCACTGAAGCTAATAATGGTTAAGACAGTGAGTGTCAGGGTTGAGCCTAACTCCCAGGTTCTCCAGACTCCAGTTTCCATGTATAGAGCCAGAGTAATAAGTGTAGGACTGGAAGGGGCCTCAGCAGTCAGTTGTAAAAACCTCTGTGGTGACCCAAGTGTTAATTAATGGATGCATAGGAACAGTTTTGACCTTTTCTAGTACCTTTTTAAAAATCAAATCACAAAATTCCTACTGGGTCATAAGACACTCAACACCATTGGACTTCCTTGCTTTTCCTACTACATCATCCCTAAGAATTGATCTAGAGGGTAATTAGAATCATCGTGTACTAAAGCTGAAAGACACCTTCAAAATCGCTTCGCTTAGCCAGAGGGAAGCTAAAGTTCAGTGAAGGAAAGTCACAGAGCTTGTCAGGCAAAGAGAAGGATTGGAACTTGGTCTGACTTGCTCATCATCATTTACTAGGTGTATTTAGTGCAGTTCTGGTTATGACCTGGATCTGTAAATGGTGAGTGCACAGGTGGTAAGCTGGTTCTCTAAAGTTAGTCAGGTAGAGGAAGATGAATACTCTCCAGAAAGGATAGTGGATCCAGAGGACCACTGCAGCACATACTCTTTCTGCACTTTATCAGAAACTCAATCCCTGTTCTTCAAACCATCCCGTGCTAAATTACATGCTGGTTAGATTTTTTCAAGTGTTTCCAAAGCTGGAAACTTGGGAAAATACTTAACAAAGATAATTGCTAAACATAGTGGTCACAAGAAGGAAAAATGAGTCACTTACGTGGTTCTACCTCCAGGTAGGTTCCTTTGCCAAAGAGCAGTGGATATTGCACAGCTGATAGACCTAATCTAAAAACAGGTTTTCTTTCTCTTTATGGTGGCCCTGGTACCAGTTGCCAAGTCATGTGATGTCTGTTGGATGGTATTTTCTGTCTCATCTAGAGTAACTTTGTTGCTCCTCTGCCTTGGGGGCTATCCTTTAGGACAAAGCAGGAGGAGATTCCTGTGTCCCAGAGAATTTGTGCTCTGGATTAGAGAGTGAGTTTGTACTCTCACTTTATTTTTTTTTAATTTTTTTAATGTTTTATTTATTTCTAGGAGAGAGAGAGAGAGAGACAGCATGAGCAGGGGAGAGTCAGAGAGAGAGGGAGTCACAGACTGAAACAGGCTCCAGGCTCTGAGCTGGCAGTCAGCACAGAGCCCGACGCGGGGCTCAAACCCATGAACCGCAAGATCATGACCTGAGCGAAAGCCGGATGCTTAACCGACTAAGCCACCCAGGCGCCCCTGTACTCTCACTTTAGAGAGAGTGAGTTTGTACTCTAAATGAGAGAGGCTGGAAAGGAGTTTGTTTCTTAGTTTGATCAGGAGAGTAGTGGTCACTAGAGTAGTGGTTCTCAACCTCTGGGCCTACACTTAGGTGGGGCAAAGATCTCTTGAGTTATGGACCCCACTAATTCCTCATTTTAGGGGAATTCTATTTCATATCCAGTAAGAACTTTGCATCACTGTCAAGCATTGTGCCAAAGACAGACTTAAGAAGTATAAAATAGAATTAGAGTCTTTAGTACATTAACATTTTTAAATGTTCATTTATTTTTGAAAGAGAGAGAGAGAGATTGGGGGAGGGGCAGAGATAGAGGAAGGCAGAGAATCCCAAGAAGGCTCCACGCTCTGAGCTATTAGCACAGAACCCGATGAGAGGCTGAATTCACGAACTGTGAGATAATGACCTGAGTCAAAGTTGGATGCTTAACTGACTAAGCCACTCAGGCACCCCTCGTACATTTTTTTTTTAAAAATTTTTTTTTAAAAATTTTTTTTTTATTTATTTCTATGAGAGAGAGAGAGACAGCGTGAGCAGGGGAGGGTCAGAGAGAGAGGGAGACACAGACTCTGAAACAGGCTCCAGGCTCTGAGCTGGCAGTCAGCACAGAGCCCGACGCGGGGCTCGAACCCACGAGCCGCGAGATCATGACCTAAGCGAAAGTCGGACGCTTAACTGACTTAGCCACCCAGGCGCCCCACCCCTCGTACATTTTAAGAACATATTCATAAATGTCAAATTTTAGCAAGCTTTAATGATACACTCACATTTAAAAGTTACAGTGAAATT